TAGGGCCTGCCGAACCTCCGCGCAATGGGGCAAAATGTGCGCGGGACCTTGGGCCGAGACTGTTTTCCCACCGGTGGTGGGAGGAGAGCGGCCCTCAGCTCCACCCCCCCCCCCACCCGGCCAGCTTTCCTCCCTTTTGCCTCTTGAAAACAATTTTCCTCCGATTGGTTTCGTTTCCTTCTCCATCCCTATTCTCTGCCTACTCCTCCTTTTGAATGGCTCCTCTCCGCAGCTAACTTCGTCCGACGGTTAGCTAACAATTGAGCACCTGTTGGGTGTCAGTCTCCATAGCGCTGGGGTGCGGGATGAGGGACACTGAGCCAAGGCCCTCCCCTGTTGGCCTCACTCACATAGATCTCCTCTGAGACCCGTTCAAATCTCACTCCTCACTCCTGCCCTGCTTCTCTCCCCCTTCCACTATCTCCATCTCCGTCTCTCTTCTCCAGGGCACTGAGATCAGAACTCTAGTTCTAGGCCTGCCACTTATAGGGTGATACAAGGCAAGCCATTTCTCCTTTCTGGGCCATTGCCTCATTTGTAAAAATGGAGCCAATATATCCACCTCTCAGGGGTGCTGTGAGGATGCAGTAAGAACTTGCATACACTCAATTATATGATTTCCCTTTCCATGTTATCCCCTGTCCTCTCAGGTGGGCAAAGTTCCTTTCTCTTCATACCAGGGGTCTGGTACCAGGCAACCCAGGCTGCTTCCAGTTCTGTGTGCTCTTACATGTGGGAGCTGGAAGCCAATGTGTGTGTGAGGGGGTGGGGGCCACACTATAAATTACCCCAAAAAGTGAGGAAGGAGAGAGTGCAAGCAAACAAAAGTGCTTTCTTAGATCGTAATGTGACATCAGCCAGCTGGTTTCTCTCCTCTTACAAATGAGGAAACTGAGGTTTGTGGAGGTTCCCCTGCTAGTGACAGGGACAGGTCACACTGCTAGGATCTTTCCTCCTGTGAGCCCTCTATTGCTCAACTCCTCACTCCTCTTCTTCCCTTGAGGGGGTCTGGGTCAGTGATGAGGAGTGTGGGAGAAGGAACAAAAAGAGAGAACCTTCAAGGAGCCAGGACCTTTCCACTAGACTTCATAAAATTTTAACACAAAAACTTCCTCAGAGTAGAAAGCACATATCACATTCAAATCATATGCTAATCACATGCTAATCCAAAGTCTAGTCCTCAGAACTCTGACACACACCTGGCTGTAAGCTCTGGGGGAAATTCTTGGGAGACCCCTGGGTTCCAGGACAAGACAGACAAGAGATGTGTTCCATTTAGGCTCAGGTTATGGAGTTAGGATTCATTTTAGGATTGGAGAGGAGTCAAGTATATAATTTGGGATTAGGGTCGGGGTAGTGCAGAGTCAAGGGTGGAGGTTAAGGTAGGATTCAGATTGGGCTGTCTTTTTTTTTTACTTATTTATTTTTAAGTAAGCTCTACGCCCAAAGTGGGGCTTGAACTCACAACCCCAAGATCAAGAGTCACATGCTGTCTGACTGAGCCAGCCGGGCACCCCTGGGCTGTGCTTTTTAAAGAGGGGAGTATAGGGGACTCTTTAAAGGCCTCCTTTCCCCTCCCCTTCCCCCATCAGACTTGTCCCCACCTCCACTGTCCTTGCCACGTCCTGCAGCACACCCTTCTCTGCCTACTTCCCTTCCCAACCACAGCACCTCCCTGGGGTCTCCCAGTTTGGCTGCCTGGGGAGCCCTGGATAAATCGTCCCAGACCCCAGCCTGGGCCTCAGCATTTCCTCTTGAGCCCAGACACTTGGCTTCTGGCCCCAGGAGCACTGGCTGGCCTTGACCCTACCCAGGTCCCTCATCGGCCGAATGTGACAGCTGCAGGGGAAGCAATAAGGACCTGGTGAGCTGGCAGCTTCATTCCAGAGCGTGGGGAAAGAGCAACAGAACATGAATAAATTCATGGAGCTGGCCCCTCAGCTCCCTGTGAGCCAAGCCTGCTCCCCCCACCACACAGACCCGCTGCTGCCTGCAGCCCTGCTGGTCACCGCAGCTCACAGCCTGGGCTGGGGACGGGAGGAGAAGGGACGCTCCAGAGAGAAGAGGGCTGGGACCTGAAAGGGGCTGAGGTGAGGGGCTCAAAGAGAGGGCCTCGGTGAGTAGGAGAGTGGGTTGGGGAATGGGGCTGAGCAGTGAGGGCCTCTGGTCAGCAGAGGGAGGGCAGGGGAGGGGGGAGGAGGAAGGAGAAGCGTGGCAGGACCTGGGGACGATGGGGCTTGAGGATCGGGCAGGGTAGGCCAGCCTGAGCCCTGGCCTGCTCTCTCCTCTCTGATCCATCCATCATCTAGCCTGGGGGAGCAGTTCTGGAATTAGACATGCACGGGGCCGACATGGCCCTCAGCCCCCCGAGGAAGACAAATGGCGACAAAGACCTTGAATAAAATTTGTATTTATGGTTGGAGGAGGAGGCCCCTCCCCCACTGACTGCCAATCCTTTCTCTCCCAACCCTTTCAAGCATGTAGGGGCCTCCCTCCACACCGGCCGAGCCTCAGCAACCTCTTTCTTCCTGCACCATTATGGGCTGGGAGTTGCAGGAAAGGGGTTCAGAAAACAAGATGAGGGGAATCACCTTCCACCCAATAATCATGCCCTGGTGTGCCCCATGCCCTCCATTTTGCATAACTTATTCCTATATATTACAGTCCTGGCTTATCCTAGTCAATAAGAGATCCTTTGCAGCTGTCCACCTCCAGGGTCTCCAAACATCCCCACTTTTGCCAGTCCTGGAACCCCTTTTCCAAACCTCTGGCCCTAGGGTCCCTTGTGAGCAAGAAATTTCCTCCAGAGGTGCCAGACCCTAAGGAAGGATTCAGCCACTAGCTTTTTTCCTGAACTCTGACCCCTCACAGAGGGGGATCTATCAAAGCTTGTGTCCCCTCTTGGTCACTCGGAAGGACAGAAACAGTCACCTCTCACAGGAGGGTGCCCAGCATTTAATTTGCATTTTAGTTGTGTTAATTTGCATAATCAATTTCAAATCCCTCCCTCAAACATTTACTATGTGGGATCCAACTTCTTTGGGTTGCCATCCAACCACAAATTTTTGGGAAGGGGAAAGAGGCAGAGATGCTGGATCTGGACAACGTCTGGGACTTGGGCAGGAGTGGTGCTGGGCTGGGCTGGGCAGCACAAGTGGGAGACTACAGCTGCTTTCTGACTCTTTCTCCCCAGTAGATTCTCTACTTTTCAGTCCTAAAATAGGAGAGATGGCATTCATGGGGCCCCATATTTAGGGGCTAAGAGGAAGCCAAATACAAAAACCTCCCTTCAGACAGCACGTGCACACACACACAGCACACACACACACACACACAAAGACAACACACAATCCACAATCCCACTTACACAGAAACACACATGGCCAGGGTCCCATGGCCTCGTCCACACTTGACAGCGCACTGTCACAATGCACAGACCCAGAGCCTACCACTCTGTTGGAAGAACCGCCCCGCCCCCGCATCTTCCGCACAGTTGATATGTCACATTGGAGTCCGAACACGGACCTGGGTGTCTCTCTGCAGCGCGCCATTTACATTTCTCTCTCAATCCGTCAACCTGTCTCGGCTCTTGTCTCTCTCTCTCTGTCTCTGTCTCTCCCTCTCCCGCTCTGGGCCTGTCAGTTAGTCTCTTTTCGAAGCTTTGTCTCTGTCTCTGCGTCTCTATCTGGGTTTCTGTCTCTGATTTCTCTGTCGCTCCTTCTCTGCTTTCCTGTCGGTTTCCTGCTCACTCCCCCAGGCTGATCTGCTTTCTCTCTGGTTCCCTCACCCTCTCCGCTGCTCTGCGCCCCCCAACATTGGGGGTCGAGGGTATGGGTGACTGAAAATTTGCCTTTTCCAGCTCAGGCCAACATGTACTCGTTGAAGCTTTTACCATATGTTATTGGGTCACGGCACTGAGGGTCGTGGGGTGGTGAATTTCTATCTTTTATCGCCCTTCTTGTTTGTGGGCTTTTCTTTTGGCGGGGGGGGGTGCTTTTTTACCTCTGGAATCCACCTCTGTCTTCTTTCTGTGTGTGTATGTCGACCCCTTTTTATCCCATATCTATTTCTGGCTTCCTCCAGGCTCTGGGAATACCAAACTCAGGGTAGGGTGAAAGTAAAGATTGGGTGGGGGCAGTGAATCCCTGCAGAATCGGCTCAGAACAGGCAGGAACCGAGAAGCTGGGGGGGACGCGGGTGGGGGCCTCTGCCTGCCCCGCCCCCGCGCTTCCCACTCTGGGCGCCAGGGGTCGCTCCGCCCCGGGCCGCTTATACAGGCTCCCGCCGCGCAGCGGCTCACACCACCCGCACTGCCGCCCCGGGGAGGGAGGGGAGGAAGGTTAGGGACGCAGAGAGGGAGAGCTCTAGCTGGAGAGAAACGCGGGGCCAGGGCTCTAGCAGGGGCTGGGGCCGCGGCTGGGGTAGAAAGGTGCGTCAGTGCTCGCCAAGAGCCAGAGCGCAAACCTACGAGGAGGTCGCGTCCGGTGGGCGCCACCCGCAGCGCCGAGCCCGGGACGTCCAGAGCGCTGAGAGTAGTGCCCCGTTCCGGCCGGGAGCGATCCGTCTGGGTAGCCGGGGACCTAGGCGCCGCCATCCTGTCCGGAGAGCAGGCATCCTAAGATCTGTAAGAAACCGGCCGTCCGCGAAGCCGCTGATTTCAGGCGCCCGGGAACCTTAGGCTGAACAGGAGGGTAATAGAGGACCACGGGTTTTGAACCGTCGGGAGCCCCCTGGCCCAACCCACGGGGGGGACCTCCGCCTTGACGGAAGGTTGGGGGCACGGCACCGCTGAGGCGGGAGCCCGCAGGGGCGGGGGGGCCGGGCGCAGCCGTCGGGGGGGTCCCGACCCAGGCCCGAGCCCGGCCGCCGCCTCCGGGGCCCTCGGAGAGCCCCGGGCCTCCGCCGCCATTGCGCCCAAGAGTGAGGAGGATCTGCTGGCCCTGGCCGCTTCGCGGCTGAGCCGCCGCAAGCGGGTGGCGGGCGCGGCCGTCGGGGTGGCCATGGTGCTGCTGCTGCTGGTGGCCATTCCGCTGCTGGTGCACAGCTCCCGCGGGCCGGCGCACTATGAGATGCTGGGTCGCTGCCGCATGGTATGCGACCCACACGGGCCGCGAGGCCCTGAACCCGACGGCGCGCCCGCCTCCGTGCCCCCCTTACCTCCGGGCGCCAAGGGAGAGGTGGGCCGGCGCGGGAAGGCAGGTCTGCGAGGGCCCCCGGGACCCCCAGGTCCCAGAGGGCCCCCGGGAGAACCAGGCAGGCCAGGTCCACCGGGTCCTCCCGGCCCAGGCCCTGGCGGGGTGGCGCCCCCTGCCGGCTACGTGCCTCGCATTGCCTTCTACGCGGGTCTGCGGCGGCCACACGAAGGTTACGAGGTGTTGCGCTTCGACGACGTGGTGACCAATGTGGGGAACGCTTATGAGGCGGCCAGCGGCAAGTTCACCTGCCCCATGCCAGGTGTCTACTTCTTCGCTTACCATGTGCTCATGCGCGGCGGTGACGGCACCAGCATGTGGGCCGACCTGATGAAGAATGGACAGGTGAGGTGCCCCTCCCCCACCCAGGCCCAGAGCCGACCCGGTAGCTTTCTAAATCTCCCTGCACTCATTACACCCGAGGCCTGCATTCGAACCCCTCTCCCAACAGCGTCACTGAGTCCAGAAACGCCAGGCTGCCAAGAACGTATAAATTGCTTCATTTAGCCGAAGAGGAAGTGGGGCCAGAGAAAGGAAATGACCTGCCCAGGGTCTCACTGAGCGTTAGGAATGGTGTCAGACTCAGAACTCAGGACTCAAAGCTTAATGTCTCTACAGCTGCTAACCTCACAATCCAACTACAGGCAGCCCTACACCAAAACTTCTTTGGTGTCTCACCCTGCCAGCTAGCGTCTTTTCTCGTCCTGTCTTGGGCCACCCTCTCTTCTGAGGCAGCCCTTTTGGCTTTCGGGTTTCCCAGCCTCATGGTGGGTGAGTTACCTGGAGTCTGGCTCCTTCGAATTAGCATGGAATCCAGGTCTCTGGCAATGAGCAGTCGGCAGCTGTTCTCATGGGGAGGCATTCAGCTTGAATTTTCGAGTAAAAAGTAAAGAAAGACAACACTCGCCCAGGGCCGGCCTGTGACCAATTCTAGAAATGGCCTTACCCTGAGCTAATACTGAGTCGGTAGGCAGGGGTGGAACTCGTGTGGCAGTTCACGGGTCAGCCAGGCAGCATGATGAAAGGGATTTGGAGGGGGAAAGGCAAAGGACAGATAAAGCAGAAGCTTTGGACCGTGGCCTGGTTCTGTAGGCCCCACATCTTCCCAGGCAACCTCTGGCCTCCAGGTTCTGCTCCTCCCTGTCCCTGTGGCCAGAGTTGGAGTCACTGCCACCTTGGCTTGGGAGAATAGCTCCAAGGACTCAGCTGGAGCACGGGGACACGCAGAGAGGGAAGGAGAGGCCGCAGGGGTGGGGGTTGGCGGAGGCGCCTGGGCCCCACAAGCTGCAGGGGGTAAGATTGGGGCTAAGCAGTGACCTCTGAATGCCCTGCGCCGCCGTGGGGTGGTGTTGACCGTGGCGCATCAGGCCTGCTGGTCCTGGAGGTCCGAACCCCGGTCCTGCTATGGCTGCAGCACCCTCCCGCTCCAGGACTAGTAGGCACTGCACTGGGGTCTCCTCCCAGCAGGGCCGCCCAGGAACCCAAGGAAAAAGAAGGTGTATGTGTGTCTGTATGGGAGTGAGAGCTGTATGTGTGTAAGGGAATGAGAGTGTGTGTGCATGATGTGAGTGTGTCTGTGGGTGCAGGGTACGAACGTGTGATAACAGAGCAGTGTCTGTCTGCATGTGGCACTGAGTAGGTGTGTGTGGTCTATGCAGGGTATCTGTGAGCAGGAGGAGGGGGTGAGTGTCTAGAGTGTGCCGGTTTCCGAGGGGGCGGGGCCCCGCGGCTCCCACTCTGTATTCCTCGGCGTGGGCGCTGCGGCCCTGGGGACGGTAAATAGTGATTAGAATAATGATGAATAATTAATGAGTTAATAACCAGCCCCCGCGGGACAGGAAGAGGGGGGCTGGGGAAGGGGCTGGCAGCCCAAGGCGACCAGCAGCAAGGCCAGAGGGAGGAAGGGGTTACCTGTTGGGGCGGAAGGCGACCCCCATGTCGTGGCGCCAGTGGGCGCCCGAAGGGGAAAGGGCACCCAGAGGCGAGAATGCATCATTGCACCCTCCCGTGGCCCGCGCCCTTGCTTGCATGCTACAGACACACCTGTGCCCTATCACTGAGGGAAGGGGACGAAACTTTAGGAGGTCAGAGCGCGTTCAAAATCTTAGAAACTATCCTACAGACTAATTTTATTGTTTAAATTATAATAATAGCAAACCCTATACAGCGTTTTCTAGATGCAAAGCGCTGTTCTAAGACTTCATATGTAGTAACTCATTTAATCCGAACAACCTTATGAGGTCGGCTCTATTATTACCTCCCATGTTTTGGTTCAAACTGAGGACCAGAGAAGGCGTGAAACTTGTCGAGTGGCACAGCTAGGGAACGGCAGTGCCTGAGAAGCTCAGCGCTCTCCTGCCCTCTCCCTGTCCTCCCTAGCCCCTGCAGCCCGCTCCCCTGGTGCGGCCTTCACAGGCCCAGCGGCACCGACTCCGCCCAGCGCTTCTGGCCACCGCAGCTCCGCACGGGTTGAGGGGCTTGTTCTGTTCTCCCCCGCTAGGTCCGGGCCAGTGCCATTGCTCAGGACGCGGACCAGAACTACGACTACGCCAGCAACAGCGTCATCCTGCACCTGGATGTGGGCGACGAAGTCTTCATCAAGCTGGACGGCGGGAAGGTGCACGGCGGTAACACCAACAAGTACAGCACCTTCTCCGGCTTCATCATCTACCCAGACTGAGCACGGCCCCACCCCCCGCACCCCGCTCGCCCTTCACCTCCGCTCCCCCCGTCACCCACCTTCAGCCGACCCCACCCAAGGCACCACCCCATCCTTTGAGAGCCTGGCGGCGGGGCGGACCTCCAGCTCCCGAGGCGGCCTTGCTGGGTGGACTCTCCACGCTCCGGGGTGGAAGTGGCTGGGGACAGGAGGAGGCCGGGCTGAGCAGGAGCCGAGCGGCCCTGGAAGCCCCACCCCCACCCCCCGGGGTCAGAGTACGCGCCTGTGAAAGCCGCCGGAGAGTGGCGGAGGTCGGGGCCCTCTCTAGGGCGGGGGGGGGGGGGGGGGGGGGCTGGGGAACAGCTTTATGGGCGGGAGCTGCAGGCGGAAAGGAAGCCCTGGCGTTTGGTGGCGGCCGTGTGTGCGGGGGTGGGGGGGGGGGGGGGGTGGAGAGCAGAAGCAGGAGGCCGTCTAGGTGGGAGGAGAGGAAACATTGGGCTGGCGCTTGTCCCCTGCCACCATAACTTGCTCTCGCCATCCTCTCCTCCCTTCATCCCCAGTTTCAGGCTCCAGGCTCCGGCCTAGCAGCCTTCCTGTGAATTGGAAGAACCAATGAATTCTTCCCCAGCATTTAAAACTCATTCTGTACAGTCCCCACTTCACCCCCATCCTGCCTAGTCCCTGGGGCTACAGCTGCTGTTACCTCTTCCAATAAAGTGAAGGTGGAGAATGTGTGTGCTTCTTAACTTGGTGCCGGGGAGAATGGCTGACCCTTTCCCTCACTCCTCTCAAGGACTCTGGTCCTACCACTCTCTGCCAGAGGCAAAGGTTTACTAGTCCCTGGCAAGGCCTGTCTGCGGGGCCGAGGGAAGAGAAGGGGAGCAGCCCAGGGCTTCTACTCTGACAGAAAGGGAGGCGTATCAGCTTCAGGAGAGCTCTGAGGCCTCGTAGTCTAGGGAGACGCCAGCCAGAATGGCACTAACACGGGGGGAGTCCAGATTTATGGGTCTGGTGCTTCTGCTCTCTGCCTGATACAGGGAGAGTTGTAAGAAGAGGAGCTCTAGGGGAGGAGGGAGTTGATGTCTCCTGGGAGGGGCACTGATCTCAAAACGCAAGAAGAGCGGGTCCGAAAAGGTCCAGATTTGCCAGCCCCCCACTCCCCCAACTCACACACACACTCCTAGAGCTTGCTGAGTGGGACGTCTCCGGGACAGCTTCTAGGTGAGGCCGCCTGGGGCATCCGGAGAGCCCAGGGCTTGCCTCTAAGCTGGAGGACACTGCCACCGTGTGGGCAATTGGAGAGCAACAGCTATAGCGGGCCTAGATCAGCCCAGCGGGAAACAGACGCTCTGGACACTTGAGAAACTTTATTGAAGGGTACAGTATGGGCTCCCACTCTCATGGGGCGGACAATAAATAAGGGCTAAAAGGAAGGAGCAAGGCAGGGAAGGAGGTGGATGCATCATGATAGAGAGTCCTGTGGGGCAGCAGACCCAACTGGAGTAAAACACTGGAGAGAGAGAGGACTGTCACAGCCCGGCCATCCTTGAACCGTGGCCAACCCTTCCCCACTGACCTCTGCGGAGAAGCAGAGGCTGGACCCCTGCCCCCGCCCCCTCCCCAGCACCCGCACCACCCTATTTTCCACAGACATGCTGTGCAGGCACAGCCTGGCTGCGGATGGGGGGCTCACCAGGGCATCCTGCCACTCAAGTAACGTGGCCACAGGGTTGGTGCAAACCCGGGTGGGGCCTGAGGGTGGGGCTCGGCTGGTGTAGAAGGCACATTCATCATCCAGGCGGGCCTCATGGAAGCAGTGGATGGCAGTCAGACATGCTTTGAGGCGCTGCCTTAGGGCCAGGGTTCGAGGGGCAAGACTGCTGGGACCTGAGGGCGGAGGGCCAAAGAGACTTCAGGGCAGGCTCTGGAGTCCTATACTCCCACCATCTATGGCCCTTTCCCACTCCCCCACCAGGGGCCAAGCCAAGTAGGAGCATGGAGCTTGAAGTGCAACTCCTCCTTTCTTTCTGAACGAGCGCCAGGCTGGGGCAGGGTAGGTGGAGAAAAGAAAGCATGGGACCACCTGGTGCAAGGTAGGGGCCCCGCTCCCAGTGAGAGATGAGGACCTCCTTTGTTCGCAATCCCTTCTGACCAACTCCTTACCTGCCTGGCCTCTTGGGGGCCTCAGAGACCGGAGTGAGTGAATAGGGGGACTGGCACAAAGTGGGCGTTGAGAGGAGAAGATCAGGCTGGTGGTCGCTGGAGCCCACTGACTGCAGCAGGGCTGTGGGCTGGACTCTGGACGTCTAGGTTCCAGGGAGCAGGGCTCTGATGCCCCAGGTTCTATCCTAGGGGGGTGCTCTAGGAGTCCAGTCTGCCTGTGGGAGTCGGCCTGCAGGCGTCCGGGCTCTACCGGAGGGCAGGGCTCTGATACCTCAGGCTCCCTCCTATGGCCGGATTCTGGGGGCCCTGGCTCTGCTGAAGGGCAGGGCTGAGCTATCTCCAGCTTTGCTCCTGGGCAGGGCTGTGCTTCCTCACACTTGTCTGGAAGGCAGGGCTCTGCTAGCCCCGAGCCCTGTAACAGTTCAGGAAGGTGTAAGGTCCCTGAATTCTGCTCTGGGGCATTCAGGGTTCTAGAAATCTCAGCCAGCAGGAGCTGAAGTTCAACCATTTCTAGAGAGGAGCCTCCATTAAGGGGGGCACACTTGCCCCCAGCGAGCCCTTCTACCTCCTGTCGCAACAGCTGCTGCAGGATACTGATGCGCTGTGGGCAGGAGAAGAGCACCCAGGGTGATGTCAAGGTGTGGGTTCAAGTCCCCACCCACACTGTCCTGCTCCCATCCCCTCCTCTCCTCCTGTGTCCCCTTCCGAGCTCTGCCACCGCCAATCAGGCCTCAAAGCTGGTGCCCACACACACCCACCTGCATCTTCAGCTCCCGGAGCTTGGGGGTTGTACTAGGGTGAGGAGTCGCCACAGGGGGGTTCCCAGGCCCCTCCTGCGCCCTCATACAACTCTCCTGGTCAAATAACCGGACTGCAATCTGCTCCTGCCACGCGGGAGGAGAGGGGCTAGGTGAGGAAGCCAGTCTGGGACAGAAAGAAGATCAGTCTGACCCCACCCGCATGAGGAAGGGATCGGGTTAGTTGAGAGGCCCTAAACTTAGAGGAGGGGCAGCAGAGAAGCCCAGGGAGTTGGAGAGTTAGTAGCTTTTCCAGAGAGCCCACCTGCCTCAAACTGCTGGGATCTCAGCACGGAAAAAGGCTTCAGATACTTACCCAGGGCAGGGCAGGCTCTTCCGGGCATGACTGAGGGGAGAGGCCACTCAAACCCTGGGCCTGGGACAGAAGGGAGACATCATAACTCTCCCTGTACCCGTCCATTCCCTTCCTCCCCCGCCCTGGCCTAGGTCAGGTACCTCCCCCGCTTTCTCTTACCTGCTGAACCCTGGGGGCCGATAGGATGGGTGTGAACGGGGTTTTGGGACGAATGGCAAGACGCCGCAAAACCGAATACGAGGTCTGGGGAGAGAGGAGGATGGCTGAGCAGGAGCAAAACCTAGACCTGGCAGGGATCCCAGCCAGACTGTTCTGCCCTCGCCCAGCCCCCGGGAGTGGTGGATACATACTGGAGCTGAGGGGCCAGGAGAGGGTACACGCTGAGCCCGTCCAAAGGGTGATGGATGGGTGATGGAAGGTGGTGCCACATGGCCAGGGGAGGGTATCAGGCGGGAGGCACTGCTGTCCTGTGGGGAGGAACAAGGTGGAAGAGTGATCGCTCCCCTCTGCACTCCCATGTCTCCTAATTACAGCAGCCAGTGTGATTCTTTTAAGACCTAATCAAATCCTGTCTCTCCCTTGTTCATCGCCCCTCCCCATGGCTTTCCACTCATTCCAAGGAAAAGGCAAGGCCTCACACTGTTTTCTAAATCCTTACCCAAACTGATCTTGCCATCACCCTAACCTCACTTCCTGTTGTCCTCCTTATTCTGCTTCAGCCTAGCTGGAGTCTCCTTTCTGCTGATCCTTAAACACACGAGGCACATTCCCGCCTCAGGGCCTTTGCATCTGCAGTTCAGTTGGCCTGGAACCTTCTTCCCCCGATATCTGCATGGTTCACTTCCCCAACTCCTTTTGGTTTTCACTCAAATATCTTCTCAATGAGATTTCCCTGACCAATCTATTTGAAATTGCAATACCCCCTCCCCAACTCCCACACCCCCTTCAGTGTCTACTTTCTTTTCACTCATCGCCACCTGACATGCTATATATTCTACATATGGGCTTTTGTCTCCCCCTTCTAGAATGTGAACTTATTTGCTACTGTGTATCCAGAACCTAGAGTACTGCTTGGCACACAGTAACTAGTCAATAACTTGCGGAGTCAATGAACATCAGATCTGTCTCACTCTCAGCATTGATCTGATGTGTGATACACATCAGACTGTGACCTCTCAGCCCCAGGCTCCAGACAGCTGGTAAGCAGAGACTAGTCCTACTCTGGAGAGGCCTTGGGCCCATGGGGCAAACACAGGCGCAATTAACATCCCAAGGCCCACCCACAATCCTCAGTGCTGGCCAGTGCCAGAGAATTCCCCCGAACATCTCCCCTGCCTCCCCCCATCCCAGAAGGGTCTCATCTCACCCTGGTGTAGGTTATCTCTCTTAATGGTACCCGCTGGGCCAGACCTAGGGGGCCCCCTCCTCCTTCATCTGAGCGAGTAACAACTTCATGTTCTCCTTCAGGAAGAGAGGGAGCTAGGAGGAGACAGGAAGTTTGCTGTAGTGCTAGAACACACACCAACATCTGGCACTGGGTTTTGCCACCTCCAAAGAGGGTATGCCAGTTTGACAGCCCCCACTGTACCATCAGGGGTGGGGACCCAACCAGCATCCCCCTCAGAGCCCAGCACTATCTCAGTAATCACTTACTAATCTGAACACCCCAAGTGGGCTAGGGATGTGATGACGGCTCTTAGGGCTGAGGACAGAACAGTGAGTGGAAGGTAAATCTTATAGGAAGTGGCAGAGAAAGGGTTGAAGTGGGGATCACCTCCTTTGACACAAGTGCAACTGGGCAACCTCTGGCCTATCAAGGTCCCTTCCTTTGCAGCTCCTTCTGACATGGCCTTCCCCTCGAACCCCCTCCCCACCTGCTGAGCTTTCTCCAACTTCAGGCAGCCCATCTGCCCCTGTTTTCTCCCTTGGCCAGACACACTCACCAGGCTGGACTGGGGTCTCCAGGAGCAATCCTGAGGCCTGGCTCACTGAAGTCCTGACAACAATAGGACAGCAGCTAGCAGTACCGAGTACCAAGTATGAGCTGGGCACTTTGCTAAGTGCTTTACAAACGTCATCTCATTTAAGTCTTTGCACAACAACCTCTAATGCTACAAACATTATCCTCATTCGACAGATTAAAGAAACTGAAGATCGGGGGTTAAGGCAAGCTTACTCCAGTAGGTGCTGAGAGTCAGGAGTCAAACCCAAATCCCATTTATTGCCATAGTCTATGCTCTAGCTACTAAACAAAAGAGACAACATTTCTCATTTCTGTTCCTTCTTCCCCCCTCAAACTGAAAAAAACTGATGTCATACTGAGGCCTGGATGTGGAGGTCTGAACCCTATTCCATGGGTTCACCCTGGGCAGTCACAGGTTTCCCCCTTCCCCTCCCTTGGCTGCTGGGAAGTCTTAAAGCTACTGGAAAACTCTAGCTCTGAGGGACACCTGTATCAGACATTGGATCATTTTTTTCCAAGTGATCCTCTCCTCCTCACCGGCTGCCGCCACCTGTCACTCTTCTTAGCTCCTGGAAACTGGGGTGAGCAGAGGGGTGAAAGGAAGGTCCTGAAGGTGGAATCTGACCCATGGGAGCAAGAGGAAAAAGCAGAATCAGAGGTGGGCCCCAAACCTTCAGGCCTCACCACCAGCCCCATCAGCATCCAAAACTGCTCTGGCTCATCAGGAGGTATTTTCCCTCCTAAGGGCCAGCTTTGCCCCAGGGAGGAGCTCAGAGAAGCACTGAGCATCAGCCCCTCAAGGCACTCACCAGAGTCTCCAGCCTCTGAGAACACAAGGTCCGGCCGCGGGGTCCTGGTCCCTCCAGCCTCGAGAAGCAGGAAGCCCTGGCAGGGTCCAGTCGGTGGGCAGGGGTTCTAGGGGCTAAATATGCAGAGGCCCGGGCACCCTGACACCACAAATGAGGCTATCAGCACAGGCTCAGGACTCCCTCCTCAGTCCACACCAGCCTGATTTCCTCGTATCCTCTCTGATTACCTGGCCCCTACGGATGGTGCCTCCCTGGCTCCCTCGGATCAGTACTCTCTGAGCCAGACTGGGCTGGCGCCCCAGGCGACAGCTCTTCACCCCCTCACCTGACAGGATGGTGGCCAGGGCTGCAGGGTCGGCCACAAACTCTATGGTCCCTGGAGCCTCTGCAAGAGAAGAGGAGAAGGAGAGCGAGAAGGAGGAAGGCTGATGGGGCCAGGGGCTGCAGCGTAGTCATCTTGAGGTGCAAGAGTGAGCCGAAGAGACTCATATTATTGAACTCAGCACACCAAAGCTCATAGAACTTTACTTTATGTAAGACACTATTCTGGGCACTGGGGCTCTGAGATGAATGAGAAAGCCCCCATCCTCAAGAAGTTACTGTCAAACTATAAAGAGGTGACAGGCTCAAGCCAAAGTACGGACACGCTATAAAAGAACTGTAAAGTATTAGAACACAGAGCAATTGATTGTGACTGAGGGAGCTGGGAAAGGCTTTAGAAGAGATAACATTTTTTTTTTAATTTTTATTTTTTTTTTAAAGACTTTATTTATTTGACAGAGAGAGACACAGCGAGAGAGGGAACGCAAGCAGGGGGAGTGGGAGAGGGAGAAGCAGGCTTCCCGCGGAGCAGGGAGCCCGATGCGGGGCTCGATCCCAGGACCCCAGGATCATGACCCGAGCCGAAGGCAGACGCCTAACGACTGAGCCACCCAGGTGCCCTGAAGAGAGAACATTTTGCGGAAAAAGAGAGAGGGCTTCTAGGGGTAGAGAGCTGTCCTGGAGCAGGGTCCAGGACTCTTAAGAGTAAGCAGGGGACCAGGGTAGTGGAAAGCTCCCAAACCTCGCAGCACCCAACCCATTCCCCCACGCCCACACAGGGAGACTGTGTGTTTTCAAGTCTCCAACAGGTACCTGTCTGGGGAGGGGGCCTAGGCCCCACATTTTGTCCCCCAGGGCTAGGCCTCAGTTCCTCCAAGGGGTTCCGGAGCTGAGTGCTCCCCACCAATCTCTCTGATTTCTCTGTTTGATGTGTGACTTTCGGCCTGGGGCCTGCTGAGTCGAGGCTGATCTTCTGCACCAATCTCTGGGGGAGAGGAGGACAAAAAGCTGGGGCTCAGCTTTGGGGTGCATTGGTGGTATGTGCTGTCTCCTTGCAGCTACTGTCTTCACCCACCAGGCCCCTCTTACCTTTGGATCTTGGTTCTCCTGGTCCAGGGCGCAGGGTTTGACTGTGGGGAAAGGCGGGCGTCTCTGAGAGCGGACGGGAATCTTGCTAGGAGTAGGAGATACACCCCTGAGGACAGGAGCCTTCGTGGCTTGGAGGGTGCTCATGACGGCTACAGCTGAGATGGGGAAGAAAGCAGGACCTGGGATCAAAGGTCAGCCAGTTCGGAGCATCAGTTCTGACATTCCTGAAGCTCCCACCTCCGCCCAAACCCATGTGCCCAGAAGACCTGATGCTTCCAAGGCCGCTCCAGGAAGCCGCTCCCTCCGGGCACCCCGATCCTACTCTTTCGCTCCAGGACCCCGAGCTGCCTCTCTTCCCTATGAGCCCCGCAGCCCCCATTCCCTCCAAGATCTCCATGCCGCACCTTCCTCGGAACCACTCTGGCTCACCCCCCACTTCATTCGCTTTTTCTTGACTGGCTTCAGCTGCAGCTACTTCCCCAGTTTGTAAAATACGCCGAGCGCCTGATTGGCTCTTCTGCGCTCCCGCGGGGGCGCGTGACACCTGGCTGAGCAGTCCAATCCACAGGCTTCGGAGGCGGGGCCAGAAGAAGGACTAGCTGTCGAGCCGCTTTCTGGCCCGGAAAAAACTGACCCGACTCAGTCAGCCAATCCGAGAGCGGAGCGCGGGGTGGGAGGCGGGAAAAGAGAAAGGAGGAGGGCGTTCCGAGGCCGCGGAAAGCGTGGCGCTCCGAGTCCCTGCCACAACGGGCGTTGCCTACTCTCGCGAGGTCTGGAGACCGCTAGCTGAAGGATCGTTCTCGTGGCTTTGGGGGAAGGGCTGGCGGTCCTGGAAGAGGCTAACGGTGTTGGAGGCTGGCGGGATCCCCAGACCCAACTCTGACCAGAGAGCGGCTGAAACTCTGGGGACGCAGTTCCAGACACGTATAGGAAACGTCTTCTGCACTTTCTGCCTGGGAGGATGAAGCGCCTCCAAACGGACAGAGAGGGCTGGAGGGAATAGAACTGAGCCTAACAATAATAAAAAAAATAAACCATCTTTGGGACACTTGGTGGCTCAAAGTTGGTTAAGCCTCCGACTCCCGATTTTGGTTCAGGTCATGATCTCAGGGTTGTGAGATCTAACCCCACGTGGGGCTCTGCACTCAGTGGAGAGTTCTCTTGAGATTCTCCTCCCTCTCCGCAGCCCCCCCCCCCCCGCTACTCTCTCTAGGTAAATAAATAAATCTTAAACAAACAAACAAACAAACCATCTCTTTCTCGCAGGAGCCTCACAACCCGGTGAGGATTGGTCTCCATTTCGCAGATAAACAAGACTCAATGTCACTGGAACTCATTCAACACCCACAGCCTGGAGGACTGGGGAGAGGGGTGTCACCTGCCTATTATTGGCAGGCAGGGGTGTGAAACAGAGGGAACCTAGAATACCCTGGTTACAATGGAGTGGTGACCTATAATGGACGATGGGAAAATGGGCGATGGTTTCAAGTGTACAGGACTCTGGTAGATTTTCTCCCTGACTACAGCGGATTCTATTATTCAAGCCAAGAACCAGGAGTCATTCTCGAACTCCTCTTTCCCTCTCCTTACGATCTCTCTTTCAGTCTTACTACTTTTCATTTCATATCTTTGCAATTCATTTACTTTTTTCCTCTTCATTACCACCTCCCTAATCCACCCTAATCTCACCTAGAGGATTGCAAGAGTCTTCCAGCCTCTATTCTCTCTTGCTCTCCACTGTAATATATTCACCACATAGCAGCTAGAGTAATCATTCCAAAATTGCAAATCTGGTCATGTTACCACTGTGCCTTGACTGTTCCTCACTCACACTCTGCATCTTATTCTCTGCTTTCCAACTTCATTGCCTCTTCGAATTCCTCAAACTCCTCACGGTCCCTCTAGTCTCTCCGTCTGGAATGCCTTTGTTGCTTCCACTTTGCCTATTCATGCCTCCAAATTGATAGTCACTGTTACTTCCTTTAAAGGCCTTCCTTGAACCCCTCTACTCACAACCTGCCCTAATTTTAAAAAAGATTCCTTGGTTCTGTGCTCTCAGAGAACAGTGTTTATTTCCTCAGAGCATGCATCTCAGTTGATAATTGATTATTCATCAATGTGAACATAATATATTGTGTTTATTAAACTCCATCCCCCCGCTAGACCTCCATGAGGGTAGTGACCTTTTATTTTGGGCTTACCATCATATTTTCAATGCCTTGCTTTGTGCCTGCCTTGTAAAGTACTCAATATTTGTTGAATGAGTCAATGGAGGGATGAATAATTGATCAAATGAATGCATGGAGTGACAGGGAAGACCTCCAAGAAGTATTATTTGAACTTCTTTAAAAGAGAGAAGGCGGGGCACCTTTGTGACTCAGTTGTTAAGTGTCTCCCTTCGGCTTGGGTCATGATCCTGGGGTCCCAGGATTGAGCCCCACATCAGACTCCCTGCTCAGCAGGAGGCCTGCTTCTCCCTCTCCCCCACTTGTGTTCCCTCTCTCACTGTGTCTCTCTGTCAAATAAATAAATAAAATGTTAAAAAAAAAAATAAAAGAGAAAAGGCTGTTCTACAAAGACAAAAAAAACCATGAAAGAATATGGAGTGTTCAGAGAATAGTGAGCTCTTAGGGGTAGATGGAATGTAGGAAATAGTAGGAAATAAAAATAGAAAGGTGGTCTGAGTTGAGGGAAAGAAGGTCACCTCCTTCCACTGACAGGCACTGTGACTGTGCCAGATTCTAGCCATTAGACCCACAGGGATGGTTACTCACAAGCATTGTGCACCTACTGTGTGTAAATTCCTTTGCTAGGTGTTTGAGATATAGGTGTTTGGGATAAGGCCAAATTTGAAAGATGGGGAGGCACCAGGTTGGAGGTTGGCTGTATAGTGATTTTACATTAGTTTAAGGTAGTCAGCAAATGCAGGTCTGGTCCTCAGCTTCACAAACCTGGAAATGTGAGTTTGTCAGGCTACCCAGAGTAGATCTAGGGACTGACTCATACTAATCAAATTCAGAAGAGAAATGGAACGATTTACCAAGAGGATATACCTTTCAATGACCAAAATATTTATGCCTGTTCATCAGGGCATCACCTTCACAGAATCAAGTTACAAGGGAGACTGATTTTTATATCAGAGAACTCTTTAAAAGAGCCAATGTCCAGAATATCTGCCATGCCTATCAGAGCATCCAAACTGTTTTCTACATAGCAATCAGGGTGACCTGCTTCTGTTTGTCTTTGCTAGACCTGTGTACAGACCTGTGTGCAGTTTTATTCTATCACAGACACCCTTATTTCTCTCCTATTCCTCTGTCCTATAGACAGCACTCTAATATGATTGATAGAACTTTTTGACTATGAGTGTGAGCTCATAAAACATGTAAGATTGTATATTAGTTTCCTATTCCTGCTGTAATAAATTGCTGCAATTTGGGCTTAAAACAATGCCAGTATATTCTCTTATGGGTCTGGAGGTCAAGTCTAAAATCAAGGTGTTGGCACAGCTCTGTTCCTTCTGGAGGCTTCAGGGAAGAGTCCATTTCTTTCCTTTTCCAGCTTCTAGGGGCTGCCAGAATTCCTTGGCCTGTGGCTCCCTCTTCCGTCACTCTAACCTCTGCCTCTGTCATCACATCTACTGCTCATGATGATCTCTTGCTTCTCTCTAATGAGGACCCTGGCGATAACACTGGGTGACACGTATAATCCAGGATGACCTCCCCGTCTCGAGGTCCTTAACCACATCTGCAAAATCCCTTTTGCCATATAAGGTAACACTCACAGATTCATTAAGACATTAAGGCATTAAGACATAGACATCTTTGGGAGTGGGTCATTAGTCAACCTACTACAGTTTGTTTAGGGTATATGTTTTTAATTTGCATAAGTGGCATTACCATATGATTTTGGTTTTACTTTTCTTCAGCCAACTGTTTCTAGGATCCATCCTTATTGTTGTGTTTAATCTAGTTCATTGCTTACAACAATTGCATAGGATTCCATGATAGGCATCCCTCATACTCATCCACTCCCCACTTCTATGAACAGTGCTAGAGAATTATCTTCTTGATAATTTGATGTTATACAATGTTCTAATTTTTACAATTCTAATGGGTATTAAGTGGACTCTTGGTTATTTTCTTTCTTTTTTTTAAAGAGGGAGGGAGTGGGGAGGTGCAGAGGGAGAGGGAGAGAGAGAATCTTTTTTTTTTAAAGATTTTATTTATTTATTTGAAAGAGAGAGAGAGGGAGGGAGAGCACAGAAGGAGAGGGAGGAGCAGACTCCCTGCTGAGCAGGGAGTCCGATGCAGGGCTCGATCCCAGGAGCCTGAGATCACGACCTGAGCTGAAGGCAGACGCCCAACCGACTGAGCCACCCAGGCGCCCCGGGAGAGAGAGAATCTTAAGCAGGCTCCACACCCAGCAACAAGTCTGACGCGGGGCTCAATCTCACAACCCTGAGATTATGACCTGAGCCCATATCAATAATTAAAGGCTTAACTGACTGAGCCACCCAGGCGCCCCAGACTCTTGGTTATTTTCCACTGTATTTTTCTGATTACTAGTGAGTTTGAGTGTTACTTCATATTCTTGTTAGCCAATAGAACTTCCTTCTCTCGAAGTGCTTCCTCATGTCATTTGTGCATTTTTTCCTATTGGCTTTCCTGTCTTTATTTTTTTTTTTTTAAAGATTTTATTTATTTGACAGAGAGAGAGAGACAGTGAGAGAGGGAACACAAGCAGGGGGAGTGGGAGAGGGAGAAGCAGGCTTCCCGCGGAGCAGGGAGCCCGATGCGGGGCTCGATCCCAGGACCCTGGGATCATGACCTGAGCTGAAGGCAGACACTTAACGACTGAGCCTCCCAGGCACCCCATTTCCTGTCTTTATTCTTGTTCATTTATAAGATTTTACTGTATATTCTGTATATGAATCCCATGTCCACTTTGACACTGCAAATATTTCTTTTACCTACAGAGAAATAGAATTTATTTTTCTTCTTTCTTTCTTTCTTTCTTTCTTTCTTTCTTTCTTTCTTTCTTCTTTCTTTCTTTCTTTCTTTCTTCTTTCTTTCTTTCTTTTTCTTTCTTTCTTTCTTTCTTTCTTTCTTTCTTTCTTTCTTTCTTTCTTTCTTTCTTTCTCA